TGAGCAGTCCTCTTGCCTCACCCTCCCCAGTAGCTGGTACTACAGGCACCCCCCCCCCACCATGCCTGGCTAGTTTTTCTATTTTTAGTAGAGATGGGGGTCTTGCTAAGGCTGGTCTCGAATTTCTGAGCTCAAGCAATCTACCATCCTCCACCTGCCAGAGTGCTAGGATTACAGGTGTAAGCCACTACACCCAGCCCTCTCCCTAATATTTAATCATTACCAGGTATTCTGCCAGACACGCTTTGCTTGTTCTGTACTTCCCTTCAACTGCAGGGATGATTGTGTGTTGTGTTCACTGCTGTATCCCCACAACTTAGCACACAGTTAGGTGCTCCAGAATCTTTGAGTTTGATTTAAGTTGTGTGACTGTAAGATACAAAAGAAGGAGGGGTCTAGCATTGCTGACTGAAGCACCAGGTGCAGGTGGCATCACATTGACATGAGAACCAGTAGGAGGCTGTGTGTGGATGCCCTAGGGCTCAGGCACCATATAGGATGGAGGGACCATGTTGAAAGGTCTCTCAGGTGCCAGTGTTTGGGCAGCTGCAGAAATGGGAGGAGCCACGGTAAGAGAAAGGATGCAACCAAGTGAAAGGCTGAGGAAGGGTGGTATGAGAGGAAGCCTGAGGTGGCTGGGCAGTGGTGGGATGGGGTAGAACCAGAAGTGAAGAGATATGGGGGCAGGAGAGCAACTAGGCCCAAGTGAGACCAGAGTCGTAGCCAGGAAGCAAAAGGGAGAGAAACCAGCCTGGGGAGGGTCACAATTGAGAGGTACACATGCCTGGTCTCCCTTGGGCAAGTGGAAAGGAGCTCAGACCAAGAAAGGTGTCATGGTAAGGAGAGTCAGGGAGGCTGGGTAAGGTGGCCCATAATGGGGTACACAAATAGAAGAGCAGAGTGCTGAGGAAGGCAATGAGGCTGGAGCACAGGATTGCTGGGCACACCAGCCCTAGGCTGGGATGTGGTTGATTCCTAATGGCCCAGGTGAGCCTCCTCCTGAAGTTGACTTTGTCCAGGGTCAGGGGCTCTGGGACCCACAGCTAGTCTGGCTGTCTTTGGTGGTATGTGCCTAAGTACTTTACAGGTATATTAGCTCAGTTCACGCTCAGGTAACTCAGGTTACCTGACAGTCCATTCTGTGGTACAAGGAACTGAGCACAGAGAGCCCTTGACAGGTGATTTTGTTCCTGAGCTTGGGCTCTACAGAGTGGCACTGGCAGAGTGGCCATGGAGAGAGGGTTATTTGGGGGAGCGGGACAAAGCCACCCTCCTTTTGTCTAGGCTTCAGTGTCCAGGTTTGCCTTTGTGCAAATTAGAAAAAGAGGCCCCTTCAAGATACTGTTAATGGCTGTAATCCACTGCCATCTGCCACCCAGTTATCCAGAAGGGACGCCTGTGCATTGTGGCTGATGCATGCAGGGGCTCCTGTGGGGAACCCCTGGCAGTTAAGACACTCACAAGCCAGCCTGGCTGAACCCCGGCCACTCCTCCCACAGAAATGGTGGCCACACAGCAGGAGATGAGTGATGCACAGCTGACACTCCAGCAGCGAGACTACTGTGCCCACTACCTCATCCGGCTGCTCAAGTGCAAGCGTGACAGCTTCCCCAACTTCCTGGCCTGCAAGCATGAGCAGCATGACTGGGACTACTGTGAACACCTTGAGTGAGCCCCAGGCCCATCCCAAGCCCTTGCCACACCCCTGGCCCTGGATTCCAGGAGGGTGTGGCCCCAGAGGCCAAGAACAGTGAACTGAAGTTTCTAGCCAGGCCCTACCTTAGTCCCACAGAGGACTCTCCAGAGCCTAGTGGGTGGGACAGAGGAAGAATCTGAATGGGACAGGGGTCTAAAAACACCTAGACAGCTGCCCCAGGGCTCACTGGTGTACACCAAGGAAATAGTAGAGTCAGAGCAGCCAGCACCTGCTTGGGCACCCCTAGACATGAACCATAGACACAGAGGCCATCCCACCCAGAGACCTCCCTCATGGTGCTTTGGGATACCCACTCCAATCCCATCCACTTCCCAGGGTTATAAGAGGGCCATGTCCCAGCCAGAGAGCCTAGTAACTCTTCTCATGCTCTGCCTATAGCTACGTGAAACGCATGAAGGAGTTTGAACGGGAGCGGCGGCTGCTCCAGCGGAAGAAGCGGCGGGAAAAGAGGGAGGCAGAGGCTGCCCAAGGCAAGGGGACCGGAGAGGTGGCTCCCGAGGTGGCTCTATAGGGAGTCTGCCCACCCTGTGGACCAGTCAAAGAAATAAAATCCTCCAAGCCCTTCAGCCTGAGCCCACCTTTTACTGTGCTATGGGGAGGGTGGGAGGTGCATCATGGTGGTGCCCAAGCCCACGAAAGAAACACACAGGACCTGAGTCTAATAGGGACAGGCAGGTTTATTCCAGGTGGTGGAGAGCTGTGGTCTGCACTACTCTAGAATGACACTGAGGTAAGGGGACGACAGCCTGGCTTGGCTGAGCAGCTCAGAGCAGGAAAGGAATGATGGGCATGCGCAGGGGTGGGTAGTCACGGAACTCCTTCAGGTAGCTGCGATGCTTGCCCTTGGCCCAGATGGTCATCTGGGTGAAGCCCACAAGGGAGAAAAGAGCCACTGTGGGGAAAAATGGGGGTGTCAGAGAAGGGCTGCCTGGCCCAGATAGCAGGGCAGTGGTGAGGAAGGGGCAGCAAGCTCACCTGGGAGACACTGTGTCATGATGGCAAAGCCAATCCAGGACCCCACCTACAGGCAGAGGAGATGGGAGGGTGAGGGTGGACAGGGCTGGGCAAGGTTGGCATTTCTGTACAGTCTCACTCAACCCTGCACATGTGGATACCCACAACTCAGCCAGCCACCTCCCCATAGTCCTTGCTTCCTAAGTGGGGGTGGGGGAACCTCAAGTGAAGACAGTGATGTGTGATAGAAGCCCAGTGTTACACAGCCCAAGAGCCCAAGAGGCCATGGCTTCTCCAAGTGCAGGCTGAAAAAATGGTTGCCAGACCAAGTGCCCGTTCCTAGGGCTGGCCCCTCCACATAGAACCCTAGGCTCCAGAAGGGAGAAAGGCAGGGCAGCCCCTTACCTCATAGGTGTAGTTGGGGCAGGACACTAGCACGAAGAGCCAAGTAAAGGGGTTCTTGGTGGGGTAGGGGATCTTCCGGGTCTTGGACCCTGGCAGGTAGGACAAGCCGAGCAGCAGGTCAGACCCCCCTCAGCCCCCATTAGCATGAGCCCACCCCAGACCCACAGGCGGCCACTCACCAGCAGGCCGCAGATCCCGCAGGGCCATGTGGATGGAGAAGTTGCCAAGCTGGCAGATCTGTCAAGGGAGCAGGATCAGCCTAGAGCCCACCAGCTGACCCCTCCCGCCCCCATCACCACCCCCAGCCTCCTTACCACAAAGATGGCCAGTGCCAGTTTAACCTGCTGGGCTCCATAGGCTGAAGAGGAAGCAGGGACATGAGACCGACGCGGGGAGGGTCTACGGTAAGGGAAGGGCTGGGGCGGGCGATCTGAGGCCACTTACTGGGGGGCGTGTACAGTGGGTGATTGATGTAATAAGCCATCCACGCTGCGAAGCCCCAGTAGTAGGTACAGTTCTGAAAGGGAGCCGGGCAGGGATGGGACGAGGGTCAACGCTGCGAGGGAGGGGTCGGGATGGTGGGCGGGGCTGGGGCAGGAATCTGCAGGGGAGGGGCCAGAATGGCGGGCGGGGCTCTCACTTTGAAGATGTTGCGCAAAGGCATGGTGCCATGGGAGAAGCGGTGCACAAAAAGTGTCTCCAGCAGGCGCTTGATGTAGTGGAATGAGTGGCAGATGCAGGCGAGGCTGTAGAGGAGGAATGGACTCAGCTGGAGCTGGTCCAGCGGGCCTTCCACCCTTCATCCACCAATTGCCCTGTTCCCGCCTGGCCCCACTCACTGCACCACCGTGTGCCGACTGGACGTAAAGTCGTATTTGTGGCCGTAGATGAAGGGCACCCGGAAGTAGAAGAGCAGGTAGATAAAAAGGGGCCCCGCATACTCTGTCAGGAAGACCTGAAGGTACAAGGGAGCAAGGTGAGTCATCCCACTATGGCTGATTGGAAAGGGGTCTGTGGATGGGGTTAGGACTCACCGTGACCCAGCTGATTTGGGCCCCCAAGTCCCGGAAATAGAGTGTGGCCGTGGTGCCCACAGGCAGCTTTTGCAGAACATCCTCATCCTTCAGAGACTTGCCCTCTGCAGAGAGGTGGGCCAGGGCTCAGGGCCTGCCTGGGCCTTCTCCCACTGCCACCCAGGAGCCCAGGGGTGGGCCAAGTGGACAAATGTACTCACTGGGGTCCAGGCGGAGGGACTGGCGGGCAGGGTACCACTGTGGATCTGGAGGGACAACAGGGCAATCACAGCCTACAGCTTAGCAGGCAGGGCTCAGCCTGCCAGCTGCCCACTCCCCTGTGCCTCTCAGGGTTTGAGGATTCTGGGGCCCCACAGCTCCTCCCACCCTGGGCAAGGCCTCTTGGGCCTGTGTAGTTCCAGAATACCATCTGGAAAAGCGGGGGCAGAAGCAAGATCTTGTCCTTCTGAATGCCCAGCGAGGGCGTTATTGCTGAGGGACACATCAGGCCACCTGCCCCAGCCAAGCCCAGAGAAGCCTGGGCCTCACAGGAGGCATCTCTGCAGGCCCTTGAAGGAGGAAGCATACAGGATGGAGTCTCTCCCAGAGGCTCTTGGCCAGAGGGATTACAGGGACCAGTGTGGCGGGCCCTAGACTCACGGGACTTGGTGAAGAGGTTCTTGATCTCCGCGATGGTGGCATGGGGCTCCACCTGGGAAGCACAGGCCAGAGGGACATCAGCCCGGAAGAAGCCCAGGCCCAGGATTGGGGGTGTGGCAGGGAGTGGATGGACTGGGGGCCAAGGCTGCTACTATGGGAAGAGGGGTTGGGGTCCAAACACCCACCTCCATGCTCACGGCAGGAGCATCAAGGGCCCTGCCAGTGTGGGGACAGCTGTGGGCCTGTGGGCTCCAGTTTTACCAGGCAGCCAGGCTTAAATAAGCTCAGGAAGCTAGACCTGCTTACCTGCCCCTCCTTTCCACTTTTTATCCCCAACTCCCCCAGGGTGAAGGCCTCTGTCCTCCCCAAGGATGGCCCAAGCCACTGACCTAGGCAGGGGCACTGGCCTTGGCAGGGGCAGGTCCTAGCGCTCCACCTCCCCAGGCCCCAAAGCCCCTACAGGGTCCAGTGAGACTGCCCTACCTCCTCCCCAGCTGGAAGCCAGCTCCTGGCCACATCCAGGGCCATGGCTATCCACTCTACCCCAAGTGGGCACACTACCCCTCATATGCCCTCTGAAGGGCAGGGGGGTGGGGCACCAGGGCAGAATCACGGGTATGAAGGGTCCAGCTGGACGGCTCCAGGGCTAGAAAGAGTAGGGTCCCTGGCCCAATGCCCAAGGCCCAATACAGCCAATGAGATGGTCCTACCTTGTCTAGGAAACACAGCTTTTCCCTCGTCTTTGCATCCAGAATCTCCACCTCAAAGAAGAGAACAGCCTTTTTAGGTTTCTTGGCTGCCTTCGGGGGCATGGGCCGGGGCAGCCCATTGAGACCAAAGCCAGGAGCAAAGCCAGGACCAAGGCCAGGGCTGAGGCTGGGCCCAAGGCCGGGGCTGGTCTCCCGGGCCACCATGCTCAAGTTCATGTCCATGCTGCCTGCCTCAGGCCCTGTGGCTCCACTCTGCCCACAGTGGCCAGTAGCCTCAGCTCCCAAACATCAGCCCCCACCACCAACCTCTCCATACGAAGCTGCTCTGGGCCGGGCAGGCGTGATCAAATTCTGCCGCGGTGCTGGAAAGAAGCCCGGGCCTGCTCTGGTGCTGCCAACTTCTCTGCCAAATGTAACCCGAGTGGCACCAGAGCCACTGCCCAGCTAAATATAAAACCATCCCAGACTGAGCACCCCCAAGGAGCCATGCCACAGATCGTCTCTGGAACGGCCTAAGGAGCAACACCCCAGGAGCTAGGCTGGTGAAAGAGGCTTTTGAGTACACACAGCCTCTCAAAAACACTAGGAGCAGGGAAATTCCTCCAGGGACAGCCTGGGACAGCCTCCCAGCATGACCTGCCCCAGCCAATGGCCAGAGGAGGGTGAGAGGCCAGGAAGCAGCTCAGGCCACGGCACCCAGCTTAGGCCTAGAGAGTTTACAGGGCTTGGAGAAATCCCAGCTATTTTGAGAATCTGCCAGATAGATCATCCATTTCCCCTTCTGAGCTGCAAAAGACACTCTGGATTACCTTCCTTGTGCATTTGTGTTCCCAGGGAGGTGACAGATTCCACAGTTATTGGAGCAGAGACTCCCTCTAAATGTGGACCAATCAGGGAACAATAAAGTGCCTGCAGCTGGACTGATGAGGCTCCCCAACATCCCTCTCCACCATTTCTCACCTTGTGGCCACAAACAGAGCAGTCCTCCCTCCCAGTCAGCCCAGCACCGCACCCACATCCAGGCCCTGGGCCCCACAAAGCCCAGAACACATGGGCTGCATCTCCTGGGCCATGAGCCAGATCTGTGCCAGCCCCTGCAGAAGAGCCTGGCCCAGCTCTCCCACAGCCCCCAAGTGGACAATCAATCAATGAATGGCAGTGCAGAGGGGAGAGAGGGCACCTCAGGAGATGTGATCCACCATCCAAGCAGGTGAGGAAAGGCTACTGGGGTAAGGTTCAGCATGATCCTATCAGACAAGAGCTGTAGCAAGCAAGGTGGTTCTGAAGCCAAGTCTGACACTGGCCAGCAATGACAGAGGACCCATCCCACCCACAGACCCCCAGCTGGCCCTGAGTCAGAGGCAGCCTGAGGAAAAGGAGTGAGGCATGCTGCTCAGAGATAAACCCTAGGCCAGCTGGGGTTTGCCTCTGAGGCCACCACTATCAAGGGCACGTCTGCCCACCCAGAGCCCAGGGAGATGGGTCTACTGCAGCTGGAGGCCACCATGAAGGAGAGGGCTTCATAGTTAACCCGGAGAAGCTGGGCACCCAACAGGTTTCTTGGCAAGGCAGGGTACACAGTGAGCAGCACCCAGGACTATCTCCAGCCCTGCCCTACAGTCACTGGGGGACCCTGGGCATGTCATCTCTCTTGGGGCCTCAGCTCAGGGGCAAGTAGGAAGGTGTCTACCTCCTCAGACTGTGAGGTGATGCGTGTAAAGCACCAGGTGATAGCTGCCATATGGAAAACTCCCCAGAACTGCAGGCACTGAGGAAGGGTTAGACCCCATGGGAGGCGGCCTGGCACCTCATCCTGGGTCAGAT